ATTTCTGTTTTTTTTAAGAGTTGGGAATGGAGATGAGCCCTGCCAGAGCTGGGGAATGGCTGGGATGTCATCTTTAGGATGCTTTTTGGGATCAGCCATACTCCAGAATTATCACAGCTTTGAGAATATTGACTTGATTTCTGTTTTTTTTAAGAGTTGGGAATGGAGATGAGCCCTGCCAGAGGTGGGGAATGTTTGGGGTGTTTCCTTTGGGATGCTTTTTTGGATGAGCCATACTCCAGGAGCATCACAGCCCTGAGAATATTGACTCAATTTCTGGTTTTTTTAGGAGTTGGGAATGGAGATGAGCCCTGCCAGAGCTGGGGAATGGCTGGGGTGTCATCTTTAGGATGCTTTTTGGGATGAGCCATACTCCAGAAGTATCACAGCCCTGTGAACATTGACTCTATTTCTGGGGTTTTTTTAAGAGTTGGGAATGGAGATGAGCCCTGCCAGAGGTGGGGAATGTTTGGGGTGTCCCCTTTGGGATGCTTTCTGGGATCAGCCATACTCCAGAAGTATCACAGCCCTGTGAACATTGACACGATTTCTGTTTTTTTAAGAGTTGGGAATGGAGATGAGCCCTGCCAGGGGCTGATTGGGGTGTCATCTTTGGGATGTTTTTTGGGATCAGCCATACTCCAGGAGCATCACAGCCCTGTGATGGATATTTACTCCCTGTAACACACGGATCCCACGGTGCCCATCCTCACATTCCAGCCTCTCCCAGCACATCCTGCTCTTCCAGCCACCAAACCAGCCCGGGACATCCCAGCAGGGCAAAACCTCCGCGGGCTCCTTTCTGTGGCAATCCCAAACACACATCCCCACCCTCCCTGCCCTCTCCCTCTGTCACTCCCTGCCCTCTCCTGGCGGCGGTGACGGGCCCTTTGTCCCGCTGTCTGCTCCTGTTTTTCAGTGCCTGTTGAAACCCTCTATTTTTCCCCTCCCCAAGCCGGTGATAAGCGTTTGACTGATCCCACCGAGCAGGCGGGGATGAACCATTCAGGCGGGATTGACACCTCGAGGGATTTGCATTAAACGCTTCAAACTCGCTCGGCTTTTTTTTTTAATTTTTTTTTTTTTTTATTCCTCATTTTCATTTTTTTTTCATCCATCATTATATATTTAGCAAATTCCTGCATGAAATTACAGCCCCAATCGTTGGCATTTGCCTATCTGAGAAGGAATCTCTCCGAGCATCCCGAGGCAGGAATTAACCCCGATGCTCCACGGAAAAAAGGAGGACAAATGAGGAATTTGGGTCTGCAGAGGGTTATGGGGTGGTGAGAGGTGAAGGAGAGGGGGATTCTGGGGGTGCTCACGATGTGCCAAGGGCTGAGATGTGAGATTTTGGGAAAGGTTTAGGAAGCCAAGGGCTGCATAGCGCAGGGGCTGACCCCAGTGTGCTGCTGGGGACCTGCAGTGAGGAGTAGAATCCTGGGAATACCCAGATTTGGAGCCACCTGGAGCAGGGAAGAGGGTGGGACAACCGTGGAGAGAAGCAAAAAAAAAAAATAGTGGGGATGTCCAGATTTTGGGATCTGCTCCAAATGTGGCAGGGAAGGTGCCCTTGGCCCATGGTGGCATTTCCTGCCATTCCTGGAGGGTGCTGTGGGCATCTCCCAGATTCTGGGGGGCTCCAAGCCTCGAGATGGACCAGGTGTGTTTCTCTCTGCTCCCTCAAAACCCTTTGGAGCCGAAATAAAAATTATCTGCTCCATAATCCTGCCTCCCTTTCCTGAAACAGGGCTGTCTTGGGTCTTATCCCTATGGAAAATTGAAATTAGGCTGAGGTTTTCCCTTGTTTTCTTTGTGTTTGGTTTGGTTTGGTTTGGTTTGGTTTGGGTTTGGTTTTTTGTTTGGGTGTTTTTGTTTTTTTAGTTCTCCTTTTTTTGCCTCTGCTGTCCTTGTGGAACTGGGAGACTGGCACAGGGAATGGGGCTCCTCCTGCCCAGCTGGGATGGGGAATTTAGGCTGGCAGGACCAGGATGCATTTCCAGCACATTTTCCCCCACTTTGGGTAAATAAAAGGAGGATGGAAATGTTTGCCTTGGACACTTCCAGGGATCCAGGGGCAGCCCCAGCTGCTCTGGGCACCCTGTGCCAGGGCCTGCCCACCCTCCCAGGGAGGAATTCCTGCCCAAAATCCCATCCATCCCTGCCCTCTTTTAGTTTGAAACCATTTCCCTTTGTCCTGTCACCATCTATGGAACCATGGAGTGGTTTGGCTGGGAAGGACTTTGGAGATCATCTCATTCCAACCTGTGTAGGAGAATGGATGGATGGATGATGGATGGATGGATGATGGATGGATGGATGATGGATGGATGGATGGATGGATGGATGATGGATGGATGATGGATGGATGGATGATGGATGGATGGATGGATGGATGGATGGATGGATGACCCCTCATGGCAACAAGTCCTTTCTGAGGTGCCCATGACCAGCCTTACCCTCCAGCCCTGCCCCAAGGATGGTTTTTGATCCTTTTTTGCCCAAGAAGCCCCAAACAAGGCTGGGTTTGCTCCATGTCCCTCCTTGTCCCCAAGCCAGGGGACAGGATCCCTGTCCCTGTGAGCCCCCTGTGCCAGGGGGATTTCCATGGATGCTCCTGCTCCTCTCCAAGGTTTGGTCCTTGCCCCTCTTCCCTCAGGATAGGGATCAAAGCCATGGGCAGCCAGCCCAGTCACCCAGTTGGATCCTGGTGTTTGTTATTCTTTATTATTTTTTCTTCTTCTGAAGAAACAGAGAGAGGAAAAAAAACATCTCTCTCTGTCCAAAATCACTCATCCTTCCTAATAATGAGAGCTGTCAGCAGCCCTGCTTGGCGAGGAAATGATGCTCACAGTAAATATTTGGTCTGGAACTGATTTATGGGTGGAAATAAACGAGATTAGTGCTTAATCACTGCCTTTCAGGAAGGGCTTTGGGCTGGGGTTGAGCTCAGGGGGGCTGGGGCCATGCCAGGGGAGCAGCTCTGGGATTTTTGGTGGAGACCCCGTGGTGGGGTTGGGATTGAGGAGCAGCAGTGGAGGGGATGGACTGGATTTGGGGCCACCAGGCAGGGATGGATGGGATTTTGGGAAGGAATTGTTCCCTGCGTGGGTGGGTCAGAGAGAGGCCACAGAGCAGCTGGGGCTGCCCCTGGATCCCTGGCAGTGCCCAAGGCCAGGTTGGACACTGGGGCTGGGAGCAGCCTGGGACACTGGGAGGTGTCCCTGCCCATGGCAGGGGTGGCACTGGATGATCCTGTGGGAATCTCTGTGGTCCTCAGGCCACCCATCCCTCTGCTCTGGAACCAGGCTGGGAGAGCTGGGGGTGCTCACCTGGAGAGGAGAAGGCTCCAGGGACACCTCAGAGCAATAATGGGATGAAAACCAAAGCAGGGAGTGCTCCTCAGAGTCCAGAGAGGCCATGGAGGTGCTCCAAGGGCTGGAGCCCCTCTGCTCTGGAGCTGGGGCTTCACCTGGATCCCTGGAATGTCCAAGGCCAGGCTGGACACTGGGGCTGGAGCAGCCTGGGACAGTGGGAGCTGTCCCTGCCCATGTCCTTTAAGGAGCTCCAATGTCCCTCCCCCCCACCCCATTCCATGGCTCCATGGCCATCAGCTGTGGGCTGACCCCAAGGAGCTCCAAGCCAGGAGAGCTGCTCAGCTGGACCAGCCTGGAACATCCACCCCATCCTGAGCCCAGCGCACCCAAAGGGGTCCTTGCAGCCACCCTAAACACAGCAGCAGCTTTCCTGTGTGAGGAAATAATTAACTTATTAGAGGATGGTTTAATTTTCTTCATTAAGAGGCCATTTCCCATCGCCTGGCAGGGCCAGATGCCCCAGGCATGGAAGGGAATGGTGGGACATGCTCAGCTCCAGGGCCTGCCCACCCTGCCAGGGAAAAATTCCTAATTCCCAATATCCCATCCAGCCCTGCCCTCTGGCAGTGGCAGCCATTCCCTGTGTCCTGTCCCTCCATCCCTTGTCCCCAGTCCCTCTCCAGCTCTCCTGGAGCCCCTTTAGGCCCTGCAAGGGGCTCTGAGGTGTCCCTGGAGCCTTCTCCTCTCCAGGTGAGCACCCCCAGCTCTCCCAGCCTGGCTCCAGCCCTTGGAGCATCTCTGGTGCCTCCTCTGGACTCTCTTCAGCAGCTCCAGGTCCCTCCTGTTCTGTGCCCCAGGGCTGGATTTGGGATGCAGTGCTCTGGTTGGGATGTAGGGATTATGGATGGAGCATTCCAGGAATCCTTGGGGTGTTGCACTGCCAGGATGTTCTCCAAGGATCCCTGTCCCAGATCCTGCAGATCTCCAGCGGGCTGAGCTGCCTTTCCCAGGGCTCTCTCTGCTCCTCACTCCGTGGCAGCCAGAGAGGATGAGCTGGAGCAGCTCCGAGTGCCAGGATCCTGCAGCCCGGCCCATCTGAGCTGCCAGAGTCACTCTGCATCCCAAATCCTTTCGGTCTGGTGCAGCTTTGGGATCATCTGAGCCAGCAGAACAACACTGGGCTTTGTCCCAGTGTGGAAAAATGGGACAGGAGGGAGAGGCAGGCGTCTCCTCCCCCTGCTCTGCAGAATTTAATTTCTGAGGAACTTCCCCCAGTGTTTTGGGTTGTCCACACCACGGCCCCGTGGTGATTCCTGGGACTCTCTTGGGGTCCCTCACATTCTCCACTGCAGCCCACCCTTGCTTGGGCCCTTTATTTGATGTAGTGACATTAAATGTGACCATTTAGGGGATTTGACAAGGTCAGCAAGGCTGAGGCTGATGAGCTTTTGGACCAAATGATTTTTTTCACCCAGGTTCTCAAGAGGAAAAGCTCTGAAACGTTCCTTAATGAAAATTGCCTTTGTTTGGTGGCAGGGAGGGATTGGGAATTCCCATTGGGAAGCTGCATTAATTATCACATGGGAGATGATGCAGCAGCACCCCCATCCCACGGCTGCCACCAGCTCGTCCCCAACTCCTTTCCCTTCACTTTTCCCTCCTTTTTCCTCTTTTCCCTCCCAGAGTCAAGAAGAAGAACAAGCCCCTGAACCTCAAGATCCACAACAGCGTGGGGAGCTGTGAGAACATCCCAGCCCAGCGCTCCCCGCTGCTCTCCGAGCGCTCCCTGCGCTCCTTCTTCGTGGGGTACCCGCCCTTCCTGCCCTCCACCCCGCCCGTCCACACCGAAGCCTCCTTCTCTGCAAGTGAGTGCCCCCAGGGCTGGCAGGTGCCAGGCAGGGGATGGGAATGGGGAGTTGTGGAGTCAATGGTTGGGAGGACGTTGGTTGAGCGCTGTGGAATGAGCCCAGCCCTTGTGGAGGTGCCTCATGTTGGTGTTTAGAGATCTGTGGGTGCTTCTGGGCAAAGATAGCCCAGGCTTGATTGTTTCTGGTTTTTGGGAAGGCCACGGAGGTTTTTGTGCTGTCTGGGGTGGTGGCACTGCCTGGATGTCACCATCTGAGGGCTGCTTTGTAAACCTTTGTGGTTTCACCTCTGTGTTGAAACCTCTCCTGCTTGCTGGATGTGGAGTTTTGGGAAGCCAGTCCTGGTGCAAACCCCGTGGAGCTGATCTCAGCAGCCAGCCCTGATCCCACCTGGCAGGGCTTGGTCCTTTACCAGGAGATGCTGCTGGTGGCACTCACTGGGTGGGTTTGGCTCCATGAGCTCAGCCAGGTCTGGGAGGAACAGCCTGACCCTCATTTCCTGGTCCCAGACCAGTGCTGGGATTAATTCCACAGAGATTGAAACTTTCCCAAGCCAGGTGTGGCTCTTGGCCCAAGAAGAACTTCCCTGGAGGAAACACGTGGCAGCTGCTGGGAGTGATTCCCTGCCAAGCTCCCTTTGCCTCTTGTTCCTCAGCTAAAACTTCCTTCAACTCCACATCCAGGCTGGGTTTCTGTCACCTTCCCTTCCCTGGGTTTTTCCCTTGTTTCCTTTCTGGAAATGTCTTCCTGGCTTGTTTTGGGGTCTTCCACTCATTCCTCCTGCTCAAGAAGCAGGCTGGAGAAGGTTTTGCAGTGAGAGGGCTGGCAGCCAGATTTCCTTTCCTTTCCTTTCCTTTCCTTTCCTTTCCTTTCCTTTCCTTTCCTTTCCTTTCCTTTCCTTTCCTTTCCTTTCCTTTCCTTTCCTTTCCTTTCCTTTCCTTTCCTTTCCTTTCCTTTCCCTTTCCCCTTTCCCCTTTCCCCTTTCCCCTTTCCCCTTTCCCCTTTCCTTTCCATCTGGGGTCACTGAGGGCTCATCCAGCCAGTCCTGCTGTCCTTTTCCTCCTGTCCCTTTGCCTTTGGGGACAGTGGCACCTGGCAGGAGCTCTGCATGCAGACCCTGCTGTTCCCAGAGATTTCCAACACCCAACCCCAGGTTTGCCCAGACCAAGGGGCATTTCTGCCTTGCTGTTTCCCACACGGAATTGGCTGTGCTCAGCTCACAGCCCAGACCAACAGAGCAGGAAGCACGGAGCAAACCCCATTCCCAGCCCCCCCTGGAGTGTCTCCTTGGATTAGTTTTGCTCAGGGTTGGATGCTGTGCCGTGCTGTGACATCCTGATGGGACGTGGCGCGGCCACAGAGGGACGCGATGGCAGTGATGGGCTGGCAGGCGACCAACCCTGCCAGAGAGGTGTCTCCTCTCATTCCCCTCCAACCTCCCTGGCTGCTGGGAATGTTTTCTGGGCTGGGTGGGAGCTGGGTTTCCCCAGCTGGTTGATCCCTGCTGGGAGGTTTGGCATCAGTGGAGCTGTTTTGTCGTGGTTGAGATGGAGACAATGCAAAGCAACGCACTCTGTGTGCAGAAGGCTTCAAACCTCTTTTTGTTACAGCATGCATGCTTGTTCTACATTCTCACAAAGCTCACAAGTTTACACTTTACTCATTGGTCAGGAAAGACAAACAAAGTGCTCATTGGAGCAGGCAGTTGCAGGTTTCTCTTATTTCTCCTTCTTTCTTTCTTGGTTTCTTTGTCAATGACCTTGTTAGGAAATTCTTTCAGGGGTAAACGTGGATCCTCTTACCAAACTTCTCTCTGGCTCACAGAAGTCACTGTAAAACCTCTTCCACACTGTTTGGTCCTTGCAGGATCAACATCTGTGTGGGTTACACCGAGCAGGGCAGATGTTTGTTTGTAGGGAGCAGAATCATGGGATGATTTGGGATGGAAGGGAGCTTGAAGCTCATCCCTTTCCATGGGCAGGGACACCTCCCACTGGAGCAGGCTGCTCCAAGCCCTCCCTGCATCCCAAGGATTCCCTGTCCCCATCCTTGTGGTGGTTCAACAGGTGAGCTCTCCACAATATCCCATCCCTATGGTTTTTTTTCTAAAAATCCCTCTTCCCTTTTCCTCCTGTGGGATCAGCACAGCAGCACCCAGATGCTCTGGATTGCTGTGGAATTACTTCCCTAAGCACGGAAACACAAAAATTGTTGTTGTTGTTGTTGTTGTCAGCTGGAGATGGGTGAGGGGAGCCCAGCCAGGCCCTGTCCCTCCCTGGCTGTCTCTCCATGATTTCTTTTCCACAGCCTTGCTGCTCCTGGCAGGAACACGTTCCCATCTGAGTCATCCCTGGCCCAGGTCAGGAGAGGGTTTGGATGCTTCCCTCTGGTTTTTAACATCCCTTTGTCCTGATGGGAATGGATTTTCACAGAGGGCTGGAGGGAGCTGCAGAAGGAGCCTCTTCTTCCAGCAAATCTGGCTGGAGGAATCACAGGATCATGGAATATCCTGAGTTGATCCTCAGGGATCACTGATCCAGCCCCTGTCCCTGCCCAGACCCCCAACAATCCCACCCTGTCCATCCCTGGCAGTGCTGCCCAAAGGCTCCTGGAGCTCTGGCAGCCTCGGGGCTGTGCCCATTCCCTGGGCAGCCTGGGCAGTGCCAGCACCCTCTGGGGGCAGAACCTTGCCCTGATCTCCACCTAAACCTCCCAGCACAGCTCCAGCCATTCCCTCTCACTGTCACAGGGAGCACAGACCCGAGCTGCCCCTCAGGAGTTGTAGAACAACTGCTTTAATGTGGTCTCCAGAATGTCCCCTCCCTGCCCAGTCCTGTGTGACACCTCCACCACAGCCACCGAGCTGCTGCTCTGCCCTGGGGGGATTCTCCTGAATCCCAGTCCTGCCTCTTCCCCTTGGCTTTGGGAGTGAGGAATTTGCAGTTTATGGTGTCGAGGATCCCAGCCAGGCATGGCCAAGTGACAAGAGATGGCTGAGATGCCACCAGAGCCCCCCCAGCTCCTGGAAGAGCCCCTGAAGGGCTGACCTCAGGAAGGTTTGGTGGAATCCAGGAAAATGTCCAGTAGGTCGGGGTGGGATTCCCAGAGCCCTAAATCCAGTTTTTCCTTTGGAAAGCACCAGGCTGGACCCAAGGACGTGACAGTGGTGCTGGAGGTGACACGGGGAAGCAGCCAGTGCCACCCATGCCCCTCTCCATGGTCACCCCACAGTGCTGGGGTGGGTTTTGGGGGGACACTTCTCCCTAACGCTGTCCCAGCCCCAGCCACCTCCAGGAGGGCACTTCCCAAAGGGAGCCTCCTTTCCTGGGGAGCACCAGGGGTTCCCTCCTCCCTGGCCCTGCCCTGCATGGGCTGTGGCTGGAGCACTCCCCAGCTGTGCTGGCAGCTCCCTGCAGCCACATCTGGCCACAGCTGGCAGCGAGGCTCCGGAGGGTTTCCCACCCTGGCAGCAGAGTCGGAGGGCACAGCTTTGTCTGGATGAGCCTAACTGAGCCTGCAAGGCTGGGAGCTGGGGGGGAAATCCCCATGTCAGGCTTTAAGGCAGCTGAACGTGGCATTTGAGCTGGGTAAATGGGATTGTCATGTCGGAAAGGGGAACTGCCTGGGTTACAAAGGGATTCTTTCCTTACTGGAGAGATGCTCTGGGAGCAGCTCCTACTTCAGATGATCCCCCCTGCTCCAGCTCAGCTTTGGTTTCATCCTGCTGGATCCAGCCTGGGTCATCCTTCCACCCACTGGAGATGGCTGTGATCCTCAGGGTTGGAAGGGACCTCAAAGGCCATCCCAGTCCAACCCCCCACATGGACAGGTCTTGTGTTTGTGGGATGGAAGGAAGGGAGGAAGGGAGGAAGGGAGGAGGGAGGGAGGGAGGGAGGGAGGGAGGAAGGAAGGGAGGAAGGAAGGAAGGAAGGAAGGAAGGAAGGAAGGAAGGATCTGACTCCATGTTCTCAGAAGGCCAATTTATTATTTTGTGATGCTATATTATATTAAAGAATACTAAACTATACTACAGAATACAGAAAGGACATTTACTCAATGCTAAAAAGATAATAATGAAAACTCCTGACTCTTTCCAGAGTCTTGACACAGCTTGGCCCTGATCGGCCAAAGAGTGAAAACAACTCCCAGCAGAATCCAATGGAACAATCACCTGTGGGTAAACAATCTCCAAACACATTCCACACCAGCACAACACAGGAGAAGCAAATGAGAGAAGAATTGTTTTCCTTTTCTCTGAGGCGTCTCAGCTTCCCAGGAGAAAAATCCTGGGTGAAGGGATTGTTCAGAAAATGTGACAGTGACAGACAGGGACACTTCCCAGATTCCATGTGGAATATCTGCCACACACATTCATGCAGGGAGCAGGTGATGCCTTTGTACCTTGAATCCTGCATGGATTTCTATCCTGGGGGGGGAAAGCTGCTGGAGAAGCTGCTCTGGGATCTCTCCCATCCTATTTTGGCCCTCAAAGCAGCACGAGCAAGGCCTGGGATGTCTCATGAAGGGACTTTGCTGCAGAGCCTCTCCCTGGGGTGCTTGGCTCCCAGCTGTGACCATGGGGAAGTAAAGCCAGAGTGGTGGGGAGACACTGGGACAGTGTCCCTGGAGCTGCCACAGGCTGAGACATTGGAACTCTGTCACTGCAGCTGGCACAGGTGCCCAGAGCAGCTGGGGCTGCCCCTGGATCCCTGGCAGTGCCCAAGGCCAGGCTGGACACTGGGGCTGGGAGCAGCCTGGGACAGTGGGAGGTGTCCCTGCCATGGCAGGGGTGGCACTGCATCATCTTTAAGATTCTTTCCCACCCAAACCATTCCACGGATATTATGATTTGTCTCAGGACTGGGATTTTTGCCTGGTGGTGGAGATATTCCTGATCCTGGGTATCTTCTGCTGTTGAACTCTTTTGGAAAGAGGCTCCACCCCAGGGTCTCCTCTTAATTTCTCCAGGGGATTCACCCACCTTGGGAGCATTTTGGTGACGTTTGGGATGTTTGGGATAAGTGCAAAGCCTCCTGACCATTCCTTGGCTTTGCAGTGACTCATCCTGGCATTCTTACCAAGTCCACTTCCATCAATTTTCTCTGTCCCATTCATAATGGGAACGTGTTTGCTGTAGTAGTGTTGGATTATGGTCTTATCTGACCACTCTACAAATCCATTTCCCACATAGCAGGATAAGGAGGGTTTGTTGATCAGGCTGTCTCTGTGATGGATAACACGCTCCCACCAGCTCCCTGCCATCTAGACAGGGGCCAGGAGATGAGGAAGGGACAATTGTGACAAAGCAGTGCCCATCCCTGGGGTTCAGCACCGCTGCCACCCCTGGAAGATGCTCCAGGTGTCCTTGTGTCACAGACATCTTTTATGGAAAATCCTTTCCTTGGGATTTTTCCTCCTGAGAAGCTGAGAGGCCTCAGGAACAAAATGTAACCAATGGTTATCTGCTGCTGTGGAATGCAACAGGTGCATCTGGGATTGGGCTCATGTGGTTGTTTTTAATTAATGGCCAATCACAGCCCAGCTGGCTCTGTCCGAGCCACAAACCTTTGTTATTCATTCTTTCTTTTTCTATTCTTAGCTGGCCTTCTGATGAAATCCTTTCTTCTATTCTTTTAGTATAGTTTTAATATAATACATATCATAAAATAATAAATCAAGCCTTCTGATGATGGAGTCAGATGCATCATTCTCTCTCCCCTCCGTCAGAGTCGCCTTTGATTTACAACATCCTTGGGGAGGCTTTGGGGCTCTCTGAGGGCATCCCCACCCACCCCATGGAGGGTACAACCCCAAAATAACGAAATGGGGAAGCTCAGGTGCTTTTCTCCATGCAGGACATGCCCAGGCAGCCCAGCTGGGGCCCAGCCAGAATTCACCCGGTGATGAGACCCCGATCTTGGCCTTATCCCTGAGCGCTGCAGGATAGTCCGGATAGCTCAGTCCCTGTGGGAGACAGAGTGCCCAGTACCCTGTCAGCTCACAGCCATGGCCACCCTCAGCAAGCTCAGTGATTTCAGCTCTTTGGTGATCATCAGCTCTCGTAGGATTCCAGCTCTTTGCTTGCTTGCTAGGGCACCTTTGGCTGGGGCAAAAGCAGACAGGAGAGAGAAGTCCTGGTGGTTCCACAGCGATGGTTTATTGAGGGATCTGTGAAAGGTTCCAGCGACAGCTCTTCTTCTGTCAGATGGGCTAAAACAGCCCCTTTTTATAGGGTATAGGGGCATCCAAACTTGTCCAATAGCAAGGGTTAGGGAAAAGTGACCTATGGGGTTCCAGAGATAAGCATTGGGGCGAGGGGTAGAAGACAGGAGCTTATTTTGCTGTCTCATCATGACTCAGCAGCTCCTACCGTTAAGTCTCAATCCTCCATGGAGCTCTCATAGGCCCCATAGACTCTGCCACAGCCCGGGGCAGCAGCGGGGGCGTCACGGCCACGGCAGCGCCGCCGCGTCCCCGTCACCTCCGAGGCGCCGGGTGCCACTCAGGGCTGTCACAGCTGCCTGTCACCGCCGGGAGCGGGCTGCCAGGGCTCTGCGCCGTGTCGCCTGTCAGGGACACGCCGGAGGTGGCTGTCACCCGTTGCCCAGTTGGTTTTCCCCTTTGCCGGCTCCGCTGCCGGCACAGGTGATCCCATCAAGCGCGGCTGTTGATTTTGGGATGAGCTGAGCAGGAGCCCTGACCTTTGCGAAGGAAAACACGGCGGTGTGGGAAGGAGGGTGGCGCTCCCTGCCTGGGCTGTCACATCGGGAAGAGGGGTTTGGTTTTTGGGAACCCCTCGGGAGGCAGGGATGGGGTGGGTGACCGGGGGATGTCTCCATGGGGCTGCTCAGTGGGTGCCACCCTGCGAAATTCCGTTTGTGCCCAGTGAAATGCCAGCTCGGAGCGGGGGGAACGAGGTTAGGGGAATTATGGCCGGGAGAATTCGGATTTTTGAGGCAGGCAGGAGGCTGCTGGTGATAAATAAAGGTTTTAAATAATCAGTGGCAGGGGGAAGCTCCGGGGTGCTGGAGAGAGGGAGGGTGGGGGAGAGGCAGCCGCTGTCACGCTCCAAAGCTTGCGAGGATCATCCGATCCCGCGGCCACTTCTCCATCACAAGATCCCCACGACAAAACCCCACCGTCCCACCCTGAACCAAGACCTGCTCATGGTGGTTTCCCCCCTTGTAATTAACGCTAATTGTGATAATGGGGGGGCATTCAATGAGAATATTCCTCCTGCGCTGGGGGGAGACTGCTGCATCTCCCTCTGAGCATCCGCCCGAGTTTACCCTGCCAGGAATCCGGGTAGAGAGGACATCCCCCAATTAACCCCAGAGCCCCCCGAGCCCCCCAATCCCTCGGGGCTGCTCCCCGGTGCCTCTCCCCGCCCTCCTGCCCCACTCCGCTGCTTTGCCCTCCTGCCAACAGCGGCTCTATTGTTAAACGCCGCGATCCTACGTGGCTCGCTGCCGCTAATGAAGGTAATTAGCTGTGAGTCACGTCGGGCTCATTTATGGTACGAGGTCAAAATCCCCGCTACACTTCAATACATTTTTGCAGCGAGCCCATTTAGAAAGTAATTAAAAGGCTCAGCAGCCGCCGTTGCCTCCATCCCCTCTCCCCCTCGCCGGGCTGGCAGGATTTAATTGAGGCCAGCCGAAAGTTAGTGGGAATAAATTGTGGCTGATAACGTGGAGGTTGTAATTTAATTCCGGGAGAAGAGCTGCTCTGGCCAGGGGTGTTTGGCTCTTCAGAGAGAGGCATTGGAGGGAGGGGTGATGACAACTCAGTTTTCTAACAAGATTTAGTGAGGGGGGAGTGATGACAACTCAGTTTTTGAACAGGATTTAGTGAGGGGGGAATGATGCTCAGGGAGGCTGGGCATGGAGGGTTCACTCACCTCTGGGATGTGTGGCCCAAATTCCCACCCCTGGCAGGTTCTGGAGGGTGAGTTGTCACAAAGACTGGTGAGAAAATATCAAAAATTTTGGCAATGTGGTGCTGGGGACATGAACTCCCCTCCTTGGCTTTGAAAGGAGCTTATAAAGATTAGGGAGAGTGACTTTTTACACGGGTGGATAAAGCCAGGACACAGGGAATGGCTCCCACTACCAGAGGGTAGGGATGGATGGGATTTTGGGAATTAGGAATTGTTCCCTGGCAGGGTGGGGATGGGCCGGAATGGAATTCCCAGAGCAGCTGGGGCTGCCCCTGGATCCCTGGCAGTGCCCAAGGCCAGGGAGCAGCCTGGGGCAGTGGAAGGTGTCCCTGCCCACGGGAATGAGATGATTTTAACGTCCCTTCCCACCCACCCCATTCCATGCTTGTGTGGTTCTGACATCTCAATTGCTGCCTCTGCCTGAGGAGTGACCAGAGGAAGAGAAGGATCCAGAGCTGCTGCTGCTGGTCCGAGGTGCTGGAGCAGGATCAGCCTGGGCTGCTCCCAGGATTTCTAACCCGGGGGAGGGATGTAAATGTAACCTTCAGCCGCCGAGTGCAATTAGAGCCCCGTGCCTGCCGCGATATTAAAATGGGATATTAAAGCAAACAGCGGCTCTCCCCGCTCCCTGGGCTAATATCCAGCGCCTGTTTAGCCAGGGATTTGCTGGCACTCTGAGCAAACAGCCGGGAGCCACCGCTGGTGCCCGGGAAACCTCTCAAACCCCCGAGTGAAAATCCAGCCTTTGGATCCCGGCATGGAGCCGCTCCCGGGGCTGGGCATCCTGCGGGGCAGGACCTTTCCCGTGGCCGGCAGGAGGAGGAGGAGGAGGAGGAGCAGCTTTTCCACCCTTGCCGAGGCTGAAGGAGAGGATGGAATCCAAGCATGGCCATGCTCCTGGTTGCCTTCCTGCCCCAGCAGTGCCAGTGAACTTCCCTCTTTGTCCTTACCCCTCTTCCCTGCTTTTCCCTTGGAAGGAGAGCCCCGGGACTGCTTTTACCTCTGTTCTTCCCCTGGAATAGGAATGGAATCACCTTTGGAGTGGCTGGCACTCAGCTTTTCCTCAGCTGCCACCTCAAGCCGTGATGTCTTATTAAAAACTGACAATGAGGCTGCTCCAGCTTTATTTTCCTTTTCTTCTTTGGATGTCCTGATGTGATTCCAAAAGTTTTGCAATCCCACCCTGCCTGCACATGGGTGCATCCTCTCCTTTCCTCTCCTCCAAACTGGGTGATGGGATCTGGGACAGGAGACCCCAATTCCCACAGCCCCACAAATCCCAGAGCTCTGGTTTCACGCAAGGAGCTCAGAGAGGCATTCCAGGGGGAAATAGCAGGAAAATGCCATTTTTTGTGCACATCCTTTGCTCTCCTTCCCAAGAACTCAAACCCCGGCTGTCGATGTTGTTACCAGCGCTGTTTTCCTGGTCTCTCCCTGCAGATACGCTGTCAGTGCCTCGCTGGTCCCCGCAGATCCCTCGGCGGGATTTAGGAAACTCCATAAAACACAGGTGGGCCCTTCCCCCTGCTGGGGAATGAGGGATGGGCCTCTCCCTCCCCATCTCTGCTCCAGGACACCGAGATTGGGGACATTCCCTCTCTTTCCCATGCTGGGCTGGGCTGTGCTGTCCTCCAAGCCCATTTCAATTCCATTTCAGTTCAGATCTGGTTTAGATAAGGCTCGAGCTGCTATCAATAAATCTGTGTTTTATCTGTGACCTTGCCAGCCTTCAGCAAATTCCCCATCTCTGGATTAGAACCCTTCCATATCTCCCTGAAGAGGGAAAGGCAGCGGGAAGAGCGCTGCTGTTTGATGGGAAGCTGCAAACATTGGTCCCCGGGGCAGGCAGGGGTTTGGGGGTGTCTGGGGTGGGAATCACAGGGAATTGGGGTTGGATTCCCTTTGGAACAAACTTCCAGAACCAAAGGAAGGCTCGGGGTTGTGTTTTGGCACCCCTAGAAAAATTCCTCAACACCTGCAGAGGAGTTTGAGGGCAGCAGAGAGAGGATGAAGCAGGGCTCAGGGGATGAGCGAGGCTTCAGCTCTCCCTCTCTGTTTCTCTCCACAGGTTTTCCACCAAGTACTGGATGTCTCAGACCTGCACCGTCTGCGGGAAGGGAATGTTGTTCGGCTTAAAATGCAAAAACTGCAAGTATGGCGCCGTGCTGGAGCTGTGTGTGTCACATCCTCCTTCAAACCGGGAGGGGATAATCGGGGTTTTCCCGGGGGAGCCGAGCAGGAATTTGGGCATGGAGAGACCAGCCCGGCTCTGGCCAGCTCATCCTCACAGGAAGCTTTAATGAGCTGTGAAATTGGGTGAATAACACCCCAAAGCAGGGCTGGGCTGGTGTCTGGGATGGCATCAGGCTCCTCGGGGAGGATGTGCCCGCCAGAGCTCGGCTCTGCTCGCTCCAGAGCTCTGAGTCAGATCCTGACAGTGCCCCTTCCCCAAGCCTGGCTTTAGATCCCACGTTATGGAGATTCCCGGTGGAATTATCTGCAGGACCAGGCAGGGATAGCTCTGGCCATCAGGTGGGTTTTGCCCACGGTTTTGGGCTGTAACCTCTATTTCTGCCGAGTTTTGGGCACCTCTGCGTCCTGGCAGGGCCCCCGAGGAGCCGCATCAGTTAATCCATGGTGCAAAGGAGAGGGGATAAAACGGGACAGGAGTGGGAAAAGAGCGAGGCAGAGCCTGGGGCTGCTTCAGCTGCTCCAAATCCGCCACAGCCCGGCCTTGGACAGATCCATGCGGCCACCAGCGCTGGGGAAGTGCTGCTGGAGCCGGGATTGCCTTTCCTGGGGCCGGGAGCTGGGGATGTGCGATTGTCTGCGGGTAACGGAGCGGGAACGATCGCTGCTGCCGCTGATTAAGCGCTGATGAGTTGGTAAATTGGGATTTAAACCTGCCTAGAAGCGCTCGGTTACTCCGCAGCTGGAAGGGATGGTATCGAATGCAGGGATTCTAAAGGGGTGATTCCCGTTCTATCCATGCTCAAGGAACTGGAGGCTTTTCCTGCGGGCTCTCCGTGCTGGAGGAGGGATCCCTGAGCAGGATCAGGGATGCTGTGGCTCTGGCTGTGCAAATCCTGCTCCCTGTAATCCTACAGAAAAGAACAAATCCATTTCCTGGCAGTCAAAAGTTGGCAGTCAACACAAGGCATTTAGGTTTTTTTCCAGCCTTGCCCCGGCGCTGCTTTCCCCAGAAAGCAGAGGGGAACCAACAGGTAAAACAAACAACCGGACCCTAAACCCCCCAAGCCTCAAATACCAAATTAATTCCTGCCTTTCCCTCTAGGAACAGCTTTGTAATAAAAGCTAACACGGGCAGCTCCTGAATTTTCATTACCCAGCTCATTGACTTGAAGCTGCCGTTCTTTTTTTTTTTTTTTTCCCCCATCATTTCCCCTTGTTTTGATAAATCCTTTCCTCCTTTTTCCCTTTTCCCCCATGGCTTTCTGCCGGCCTGGCAGAGCAGTGAGCTGGGGATGCGTTTCCATCCTTAATTAAGGAGGAATGGGAAGGATTTGGGAGTCTGCCCATGCCTACATGCATGACCCGGGGGTGAAGCCCTCCAGACTCCTGCCCGGGCTCCGGGAAAAAAGAAAAACAACGGGAAAAGCTCTGCAGAATATCCAGAGTCTGTAAATCCTGTCTTTATTCTGGCTAAATGTCCTTAATAAAGGCAGGAGAGGGGGGCACAATGGCAGGGATACATTAGGGATTGGGGCAGCCACTTCTTCCCCCTCTGCTGCTCCTGAATTTGGTTAAGCATGCAGCAGCAGGATGGTGGGAACTGGGTTTTCATGGAACCATGGAATGGTTTGGGCTGGAAGGGACCTTGAAGCTCATCCTGTCCCACCTTCAGTGCACCCTTCCCCCCAGTGCAGGGCTCTGATCCTTTTACTGCAGCCAGCTCTGGCAGAAGTGACAATTTGGGGTATCCTCAAGCCTGGCTGGCCCAGAAAGGGGCAGTGGGGCAGAGCCGCCAGGTTTGGGAATTTCTGTGCTGCCCCATTGGGATGGAGGTGTTTTCCAGGGCTGTGCAGCCCCTCCTGATTGCCCAGGATGTGCATCCCACACTGTTCCCCATCCCTGAGCTGCTGCTTGGGAATGGTGGGGAGCAGGGAGCCTGGAGGGCTCACTCAGAGTGGGTGAATGACCAACACCCTGCATCCAGTCACTTTCCCAGGGAGAAAAGGAAGAAAAAACTCCATCACAGAATCCCAGAATGGCCTGGATAGGAAGGGGCCTTAAAGCCCATCCCATTCCACCCCTGTCAGGGGCAGGAACACCTTCCACTATCCCAGGTTTTGGGCACTTCCAGGCATCCAGGGACAGCCACAGCCTCAACCTCCCAGGGAACAATTCCTTCCCAATATCCCACCTGTCCCTGCCCTCTGGCAGTGGGAAGAAGCTCCCCCCTTATCCTGTCCCTCCATCCCTCAATGTTCCCTTCTCACTCCTTTCTCTCTGTCCCCTGCCAGGCTCAAGTGCCACAACAAATGCACCAAAGAGGCCCCCCCGTGTCACCTGCTGATCATCCACCGCGGAGGTGAGGCCCCCCCGCTCCCTGCTCCGAGCCTGCGGGGATGGGTTTTTTTTGGGGGGGTGAAACTTTCGGAAGCTCCCCCGGGGGGTTCGGGAGCCGCACCCGGCCAGGCGGGGTCCCCGGCGGGACGGAGGCTCCCGAACCGCTTGGGCGCTCCGGGGGAAATGTTACCCACCGTTTTTTCCGCTTGTAGGGAGACGAGCCGGTCGGGGCGAGGCAGATTTGCATTGCAAACCACTTCCACCCACCCTCCCCCTGCCTCCTTTTCTTTTCAGATTCCCCACCGCACGGGGTAAGTCCAAACCAGGTTTTCGCCTTTTTGCTTCTGTCGAGAGCTCAGGGCGGACGGGGGACCCCGAACCCCCCCGGTGCATGCGGGGTCCCCGCGCCGGGGACGCGGCCGTGGCCCTGCGGATGCTCGTGGTGCTTTTTGGAGCTGCCTTATCCCGCTCTCCTGCGGGATAGAGAGCCCGGCCTAAAATCCGCACAGAGACAGGCAGAACCTTGCAGCAGGACGGCGGGGCGGCGCTTCCCCACCTCTTTTCTTCCAGATTTTGGCTCCCTTTGCTGGCCAGAGGACCGCGACTGCCTGAGAGAATCGCTCTTGCCTTGAATTTTGAGCTCTTAAAGCTGTTCCTTTGTGTTGAATTGTGAAATATCCCCCCCAAACCCGCTCCTTGGTTTAATCCCGGGGAAAAGGATTGTGCTGGTGGCGCCTCAGAGGGGGCAATTTTACAGCCCCCATCCCACCCCACGCCCTCACTTGCAGCAAATTTGGGTGGAAGCGGTTGAAGACGCCCCCTCGTCAGGCTCGGAGCTGCTGCAATCCCTGCCCGGGAGGCAGGGAAGGGGCAGTCGGGCTCCTGGGATGGGCAGGAATTGGGATTTAGGGCTGTGATGTTGCCAGAGCCGGAGCTGCCCGCTGTGTGTTTTAGGAGCAGCATGGCTTTGGGGTGGCCTCAGCATCACTGAAATACCTCCCCACTCCCCCCAGAAAAATCCCAAACCCAGCTCTTATATCCTTTATCTTGGAGTGAAACAGTTCCTGAACCCCCCCAACCTTCAGGCTGGCTTTTCCCAAAAAATCTCCCTGCTGGGAGCGTTCAGAGCCGGCTCCTTCCCTTCACCCCAGAAAGCTCCAGCAAGGAGCAGGACTGTGCTGGCTGAGCCCCGGTTCACAGAGGGGCCGTGGCAGCTGCTGGAGCCCCCAAATTGCTGCCTCACACCCCGGGGGGGGTTGGCTGTAGCCGGGGTGCAGGAGGATCCCGAAGCTCAGCTGCCATCCCAGGCTGGAAGTGCCGCGGGAATCGCTTTGGAGAGCGGTTTGCAAGCACGGGGCGACCCCTGTGACAGGGAGCTGAGCTTTGATGTCCTTCCCTCTCTCTTCCCCTCCTCTCCACCCCCCTTTTCCTCTCTCCCTTCTGAATCCAGCGAGGTTGGTCCGGACAGAGTCGGTGCCCTGCGACATCAACAACCCCCTGAGGAAGCCCCCGCGCTACTCGGACCTGCACGTCAGCCAAACGCTCCCCAAAACCAACAAACTCAACAAGGTGAGTCCTGAGCCCCGCCCTGAGCTCCCCAAAACCAACAAACTCAACAAGGTGAGCCCTGAGCTCCCCAAAACCAACAAACTCAACAAGGTGAGCCCTGAGCCCCACCCTGAGCTCCCCAAAACCAACAGACTCAACAAGGTGAGCCCTGAGCCCCGCCTGAGCTCCCCAAAACCAACAAACTCAACAAGGTGAGCCCTGAGCCCCCCCTGAGCTCCCCAAAACCAACAAACTCAACAAGGTGAGCCCTGAGCCCGCCCTGAGCTCCCCAAAACCAACAAACTCAACAAGGTGAGCCCTGAGCCCCCGTGTGCACACCCTGCCACAGGGACAGAACCCCCTGCACACAAAGATCCACAGCTTTGCATTCTTTGCAATCCACACCTTTGGAATTCTTCCAGTTGGAAAAGATCTTTTAAGAAAAATGAGTTTGGTTGCTCCCCCTGCACTGCCAAGGCCATTGCTGCCCCATGTCCCCAGGTGCCACATCCACATGGCTGCTGAATGACTCCACCCCTGCCCTGGGCAGCTGTGCCAGTGCCTGACCACCCTTTCCAGGATGAATTTCCCCAAAATCCACCCTGCCCCTGCCCTGGCCCAGCCTGAGGCCGTTCCCTCTGCTCCTGTCCCTGTTCCCTGGAGCACAGCCCGACCCCCCCGGCTGTCCCCTCCTGGCAGGAGCTGTGCAGAGCCACAAGGGCCCCCCTGAGGCTCCTTTGCTCCAGGCTGAGCCCCTGCCCAGCTCCCTCAGCCTCTGCTGGGGCTCCAGCCCCTTCCCTGGACACGTATCCTGTGACTGTGTTCACAGGTGTTCTTGGATGAGGAAGAGACGAGAATGTTGACTCTATGATCAGAAGGCTTAATTCATTATTTTATGATATATATATATATATTACATTGTCACTATATTAGAAAGAAAAAGAAGGACAGGTTTTCTCAGATGCTGACTAAGCTAAGAATAGGCAAGAAAGGAAAGGAATGATAACAAAAGCAGCTCTCTTGGACTCTGTCCGAGATAGCTCGGTCTTTGATTGGCCATTAATTATACACATCTAAGATGGGCTAATCCCAGATGCACCTGTTGCATTCCACAGCAGCAGATAACCATTGTTTGCATTCTGTCTCTGAGGCCTCTCAGCTTCTCAGAAGGAAAAATCCTAAAGAAAGGATTTTTAGTGAAAAGATGTCTGCAGCAGTATCCAATGAAGTTATTTCTTTTAGAGATAAAATGGGATCAGCATTTCCACAACTGCCTGGATTCCTGTCCTAGTCCTGCTCTGTTGTGGCCTCTCAGTCTCCAGGTCCAAGCTGAATTTGGGGTGGTTTGAGGTCTCTGCTCCCAGTGGAGGCTTTAATAAATAACAAATTTATTGTTGCAAATAAAACCAGCCTGGAATTGGATTGTCCCTGGCGAAGCTGCTCAAGCCAGACCTGACAGAGCACCTGGCTCACTCCTGCTCTGCCTTGATACCATAAACCCATCACAGAGCTGGCTCTGATGGAATTTAAAGCCTGTTGGCCTCCAGTGGAAAATTCCTTGGAGGAAGGGCAGGGTGAGGGGTTGGCAGGCTGGAAGTGCTCAGAAAGAGGGATATCACTGACCCGATGGGGAATGGATCAACAAAACCCTGAATTCCTAAAGCCTGGCTGGGCTCCTCCAGCCCTCAGCATCTTCTGGCTCTGGGGAAAGTCTGGGTACCAAGATGCTCCTGGAGACTGATTTTAGACATAAATCTTTTTAGGAATTTCTTGGTGTAGGGATCTGCTCTGGTTTTGTTGTTTTGGGGTGGTGCTTTTGTCCTGAGCGCTCCCATTCAGGTTGAAATTTCCCCTATAAATATTCTTATTTCAGCAGGGCCCCCATCTCACTTTGGTATTTCTAAAAGCATTTCTTTAAAGGTATACTGAATAAAATAATGGAATGGCCTGGGTTGGAAGAGACCTTAAATTCCTCTAATCCCAACCCCCCGTGAAATCTTATTTTTTTGACCTTCATTGGTTGTTTAAAAAAGAATTTACCTGACCAAGATTACTGAGCATGGAATGATGACCAATATGGCTTTCGTGGAAAGCCCAGCTCATTTAAGAATTAATTAATTAGGACAAAATTACCTGCTGAGGAAGGCTTGTGCAGATTTTTTAACCTTGGAGGGAAATTCTGTGGGGATGGGAATGCTCAGCACTGCTCACACCCTGTTCAGTGGCTCCAAGTTGGGCAGCCAGGGGGGAAATCCTGGCCTCAATTTTCCTTTTGGGATCCAAGACATCCAAGCAGGTTTTCCAGCTGTTGGCTCCTTTCCCATCCACCCCATGTGCACCCACAATCGATGGCCTTGACTGGGAGGAGTCAAGGAATGCTGAGGAATGTCTTGGGATGCATTGGCTGCTCTTTCCAGATCCCTCTGCTCCCTGCAAGGCCCTGGACTTTGGCTCCAGGGAGCTCTGCAGGAACTTCCAGGACCTTGTTGTGCCCAAGGACCGAACCCCAAGGTGGTGACCCCTATTCTGGCTTTGGTGGCCGTGGCTGTGCAGAGCCAAGAGATTTATGGCACCCTCATCCAGGGGTGAGGGTGGGAAAGGAGCCAATTTATGGTGGGAAATGGCTTTGGGGAATACAAACAGCTTTGGGAAAAATTGTTTTCTAGGATTTCTGGAAGAAATGGGTGGGATGATGTTATGTTGTATTTGTGGGGTGCCCTGAAGAAGGAAGGAATGATGAATCTGACTCCATGAAGGCTAATTTATTATTTTATGATACTATATTTTATTAAAGAATACTATACTATGCTAAAGAATTCAGAAAAGATACTTACTGAATGCTAAAAAGATAATAATGAAAAGTCGTGACTGGAAAGAATCTGGCACAGCTTGGTCCCAATTGGCCAATGAGACAAAACAACTCACAGCAGATTCCAATGGAACAATCACCTGTGGGTAAACAATCTCCAAACACATTCCACACCAGCATAACACAGGAGAAGCAAATGAGATCAGAATTGTTTTCCTTTTCTCTGAGGCCTCTCAGCTTCCCAGGAGAAGACTCCTGGGTGAAGGGATTTTTCCAGACAATGTGAATGCCACAATGTCCTTTGTCACCCTGGGTCCTTTGCACCTCGGAGTGGCACCAACCAGCGCTGCTCTCACCGCCTCCTCTCCTTCCCCTCCTTCCCTGTGTCCCTCAGGACCACATTCCAGTGCCCTACCAGCCAGATTCCAGCAGCAACCCCTCGTCCACCACGTCGTCCACGCCGTCCTCGCCGGCTCCGCCGCTGCCGCCCAGCGCCACGCCCCCGTCCCCGCTGCACCCCTCCCCGCAGTGCCCGCGCCAGCAGAAGCAGTTCAACCTGCCAGGTAATGCCACCCCCTCCCCGTGTCCCCACCTGCCCCCCGGGGGGGACTCGTGTCCTGGGGTGTCCTTGGGATGTGGCACAGTTCCACCTAATTCCCTTCCTGGGTTTGCGCCGGGGTGGGTGATAATTGCTGCCCCGAGGTGGGCAGGGTGTCTCTGCTTCGGGCTGTGCAACTGAAGAATGAGTCTGGACTCTTCACTTTTCGGTCTTGAGGTTGTTTATTAATTTTTATCTATAAAATTTTCTTTCTGTCCAGCCAAGGTGTGCACACAGGCACTCTGACTGCCCCCGAGGCGGTGTTGTCCTTTTATACTATAACATATTGACACTTAATTCCCAATACCTATCACCCATGTTAGACAGTGCACTTCTACTCTAAACCAATCCCAAAGTGCCAACATCACAGCAGAAAATGGAGAACAAGAAGAAGAAGGAGAAAGGCCAGACACGCCCAGATTCCTTCATCTTGTCCCCATAACCCCCATACCAAAAATCCTAAAATCTACATTTTCACCCTGTGATCATTTTGTTATTCTATTCAAATCTGTGTGACTTTCATGTCCTCATACAAAGTTGGCAACTTGCTCCAAGGGTCAAAATCAAATCCCCAGGTGTTCTGGGCTGCGTGCCAGGGTCTCTGAGCCCCCCAGCAGGGTCCTTGGCAACTCTGGACACCCAGAGGGATGTACTGAGTTCTGACAGGTGGGGAGAAGGTGGAAGTAGAAATGAGGAGAAAAGGTGACTTTGGGATAATTCTAGTTGGCAGTGTCTGGTCAAACCTCTTGCTTGAAGAAGGGTCAGAGCCCAAGGCTTGATCCAGTCTTGGAATCCTCCAGGGTTGGAGCCAGCCCAACTTCTGCTGCTCTTGAGGCTACAAAGCCTTTCCAGGCATAGATTTTCCATTTTTCCATGCATTTTCCATTTTTCCATGCATTTTCCATGACATTTCACCTCAAGCACAGACAGAAACCAGGGGCTGACCCCTCTATGAGGGCAAACTGGGGTGACCCTGACATGTTTTTGGGGTGATGGGTCCCCAGCAAGTTGGCAGTGTGTGTGGGGTGACAGATGATTCTGGGAATGATTCTGGGAATCATCTGTGGCTTGTCTGACGTGGCTTGTCCCATGGAATCTGGACCTGGGATCCATCTGCTCCAGGAGCTCCATCTCTTCAGGGATGGTGGGAGAGGCAGGGAGGTCGTGGTGGCTGCAGGACACAGAAGTTATGGAAGATGGCCCAAAAAGCTCCTCCTGTCTGCCTTCCCTTGGGATGTCCTGCTGCTCCAGGAAAGGTCCCTTCCAGGAGGGAAGGGCTCAGCATCACTCCTGGACCTGTGTCCATCTGCTCCCAAAATAGAGCTGGTGAGGGGAGAGGAGATCTCTGGGATGCTGAGGCCCTCCTGGCTGTCCTGGGGGTCCTGCTTGGTCCATGACCTCCTTGCTGGACCAGCTGGAAGCATGAGGTCCTGCAGCCCCAAAATCCCAGGATTAATGGACTGGTGTGGTTGGAAGGAGGGTCAGGATGGCTTCTCCAGAGGAACCAGGCAGAATCTTCAATCTCCATGGTGGTGCCTCCATCTTGAGCAGTCTTCGGCGAGAGAGGAAGAGGAGGAGGAGGAAGATGAGGAGGAAGCTGCCTGGCAGAATCCATCACTGCAACAACAAACACTTCCAGAAGCTGGGAAACGCCCCCCAGCAAACCCATCATGTGCTGTGTGCCCAGAGAGGGGGCAGTCCCAGAGCGCCTGGCATTCAGGCAGGATCCTGGAATGGCACAAGGAAGCCCTGAGCTGCACTGCCAGGAATGGTGTGACCCATCCAGAGGGTCAGGATTTCACCAGGCACGGCCCTGGAGCCTCCAAGGTCTGGAGAACACGGTGTGAGTTCCATCCTGGTGTGACCCAGCCCAAGGAGTTCTTCCAGAGCCGAAGTGTCCCGGTGTCTCAGCATCCCAATCCCCCTGCTGGGCCAGCCCTGGACCCTGCCTGGCTCTGGGGGCATCCAGCCTCTGGTAGCCCCATCCTGGGTCACTTCTGCAGCAGACACCTCCCGGTGGGGTTTGTTGGGACATTTTTTCATGGATTTCACCCCCCTTTGGGGTACTTGGAACACATTCCAAGCTGGCAGAGCCAGAGCAGGGCAGGATCAGACCCTGGCATCTCTGGGGGTGTTTGCTCCCTGTTTTAGTCCCATTAGGAGCAGGATGGGATCCAAAGCAGGACCTACCCTGCTTTCATCTTCCCGGCTGGGAAGTTTTCCGTGGTTTATCCCATCAAGATGATCATCTCAGGGATTAGGATTTGAGCTTGGAAATGGTGACACGGTGACCTTCTCCTGCTGGAATTACCTTCCAGGCTCCTTTGATGTTGGCTCAGGTCCTGCTGCAGGGCTGAGGTCGGACTTTGGGGTCTCTGAGCTGGAGGGGGAAAGCTGAGCCATGGCCCTTGGGTCTTGGCGATAAGAAGGTGAATTCTGAGCTGCTGCCAACCTCTGGTGGCCTCAGTAGCTCTGAGTTCTTCACACCCATGACCTGCCTGCTCATGGAATTGGATCAGTCCTTGGGCCGGAGATGGGAGCCAGTGGATGTTCCCAACACCCAGAGCCTCTCTGAGCTCTGGCTTTGGACAGTGGCTCCTGGAACTCCTTCCAGGAAGGACACGGCTCCAAAACAAGGGAAAAAAGGGTGAAATGTGGCCCAAATGGGCAGCAGTTCCAAACCCATCACTTGGTGCCTCCATGATGCCAAGAGGTTCCCAAATCCCACCTGAGGGCCAGGACTCTCACCCTGCTGGCTCTCACTGGTGTCCAAACCTTCATGGATGACATTGACATTCTCCAAATGGTGCAGAAGAGAAGATGTGGGGGGGAAAATCAAGTTATAACCCAGCAAAAGTCTTAATTTTTTGGCCTGGACATACTATGTGCCATTTTGGAATATCAAATATTCCATATAGGGATATGGAAGTGGGAGAGGTTGGATCACACAGGAGGGGTTCACACAAATCAGGTTGAGGTTTTCTGGTGAAGAACTGGGCACAGGCTGGAGCTTTTCCAGCTCCACAGGTCAGTGTTGAACCCTTGTTCCTCTTTTGCAGCCTCCCATTACTACAAGTACAAGCAGCAGTTCATTTTCCCAGGTAAGGCTCTCTGGAAGTTTCTCCTTGGATGCTGGGGTTTCTCCTGCTGGGGATGGGTGCATGGCCAACCCTCCAAACCCCTGGATTTGTGCTGGGGAGGTCGTGCTGGGGTGGGATTTCTCCTCAAAGCCTGTTGATGCTGCCAGGTTGGGTGGCCCCCAGCCCTCCTCAGGGTGTCACTAAATGGGACCTGGGGGTGCAGGGTGGTGTTTAACTCCCCTGGGTGCCCCCAGAGATCTCTGACTCCTCTCTCCTGTTGCCAGATGTGGTGCCTGAGACGCCAACCCGAGCCCCACAGGTCGTCCTGCACCCTGTCACCTCCAACCCCATGTGAGTGACTCCCCCTTCCCATCCCCTTCCCTCTGCACCCCAAATCTTCCAGGCCCCCATGGGTGCTCCCCTGGCACTGGGGGCTCAGGTGGTCCTGGTGAGACCCCAGAGCTCCGGAAGGTTGAGAAGGAGGGCAAGGGGTTAATTTATAACTCACAGCTCTTCACTGCTAGGAAAAAAAAAATGGATTTCAGTCTAAAAAGCCCAAGCCCAGGGGATTAATTAAATTATAATTGAATTATAATTAAATTAAAAGCAGATAACCAGCATATCTTCACCACTTCCAATATTTTCAAGCCCAATAAACTTTGGGCTGAAAAAGCAGCATCTTTTGGGATGGGAAAAGCAGCATTGGGAAAAGCAGCATCTTATCAGTATTAGAACCATCCCTCCCCAGCAGGTCGAGCCCAAATCCATCATTCCTTGATGTCCTGGAGCCTGTGCTGCTCCCACAACAACATTCCACTGCTCTGTCCCTCCTGATCCTTACTCTAAAGGCCATTTTGGAAGGATTTCACAAGCCAGGGGTTTAAGGGACCATGTCTGTCCCCAGTTTGTGCCTGGCTCGTCCACACTCTCCAAATTCCACCGGGGATGCAGTGGAGCAAAGGATGGAATCACTGTCCCTTGGGAATTCATGGAAAAATGGTGAAGCCAAAGCCTTTTTTTCCCCCTGCCTAAAGGAAGGTGTCAAAACATAGGATTTTTGGGGAGGAACAGCTTTCAATATCTAAAATCTGTGATTCCCACTGCCTCCCCCCCACTGAAATCATCCCATGGGAGCCATCCTGGGCTTGGCTGGGTTAAACATCTGTGGATCCTCGGGAGACAGGAATCCGTGCCTGGGATAGCAATGAGGAGCCGGCTGCTCCTGCAAACCGCCCATCCATGGAGATGTTTTGCAGCCACTTGGGCTTCCCAAGCTGCTCAAAATACCAGGGTTGACTCCTTTTCTGCAGGATCCTGGGATTTATAGTCTTTAGTGGCCATGGAGTGGGGTAGGACTTGTAGGACTGCCATGTCTGAGTGGCTTGGGGAGCGTAATTCCCCTGGAAAAAGATTAATAATAATTTATAATATATTTATATGATGTTTGAAACCACCCGAGCTGTTTCAGTTGATCCCTCATTCAAAATTTCCCAAATTCCCCATTAATTGTCAGACCCCAATCATGGACCTGGGGGTGGGAGGTGCTGAGTGAACAGGGAAGGAAAAGAACTGGAAAACCAGTCAGATTTGGGTGCTTTACTGCAGGGAGAGGACCTCCAAGCCCTCCACTTCTCCAAAATGATTGAAAAACTCCTTTTCTTTCCTTCTGCACTTCTGCTTTGGCTGGGGTTGCTTGCAAAAAAATCTTAGAAATCCCTGAAAATGCCTTGATTGTGGTCAGAGTCAGTGAGGGGGTGAATCTGTCCCTTTCCCTGGGTTAGTGACACCTTCTCCTCTCTGATCCCCTTATTCCCAGGGCAGGAAGAGGGACTGCTCCCCAGATCCCAGTGTTTTTCCATGGTGTTAATTCCATAATTCTTTTCACAGCCTGGAAGGAAACCCATTGCTTCAAATTGAAGTGGAGCCCACCTCGGAGGTGAGATGGCTCCTGTGCTTAATGGGCCTTGGTTTTAAGGATATCTTGGGGCACATTTCCTAGGAAATGGAGACGTTTCCCATCTGTGCAGTGGAATTGCTGATAATTGAATTAAAGTCCAGGCATCCGTGTCCCCACCCCATGGAGAGGGACCCTCCTGGGCTTCAAGTTTGGAATTCAATGAGGTTTTTTAGGAGGCATTAAAAATGCAGTGGGAGGGAAGGAAAGGAGAGGGAAGATGAGGATGGAGCTTTTAAGGGGTGTTGTAAATCCTCTAGGAAGTCTAAATGGACCATCAAGGGGTCTGGGAATAATGGGAATTAACAGAGCACAGCTCAGCCAGGGGAGGATGAAACTGTTTTAAGACAAATTAATTAAATCTCTGATGGGTCACAATCTTAAATTTGGCCCCAGGATGGGGTTAAATGGCTCCACAGGGAAGCGGTGGAGTCCCCAGCTCTGGAGGGATTTAAAGCCCCGTGCTTGTGGCACTTGGGGACATGGGCTTGTGGTGGCCTTGGCCATGCTGGGGAAGGGTTGGAGTCTATCCCAGATGGCTTTTCCAACCTAAAGGGTTCCATGATTCTATAAAAATCTGGGATTCTGCCAACTTTGTGTAGAACAGGGCTGCTGCGTTGGGGTTGGGAGGCCCCTACCTGGCTCCTCTGCGTCTGAGCGAGCAGGAGTTGGGTCAGTGGGGTTTTTCCCTCAGTTTCTTCCTTGGTTTATGGTTCCCCATGCCCTTTTCCCACCACAGAACGAGGAAGGCGCCGAGGAGGTGCAGGAGTCCGAGGACGACTTCGAGGAGATGAACCTGTCGCTGCTCTCGGCGCGCAACTTCCCGCGCAAGGCCAGCCAGACCAGCATCTTCCTGCAGGAGTGGGACATCCCCTTCGAGCAGCTGGAGATCGGCGAGCTCATCGGCAAGGGCCGCTTCGGGCAGGTGTTCCACGGGCGCTGGCACGGCGAGGTGGCCATCCGCCTCATCGACATCGAGCGCGACAACGAGGACCAGCTCAAGGCCTTCAAGAGGGAGGTCATGGCCTACCGCCAGACCCGGCACGAGAACGTGGTGCTCTTCATGGGGGCCTGCATGAGCCCTCCCCACCTCGCCATCATCACCAGGTTGGGGCTGTTTGTTTCTGTCCAAAAATTTGTTTTCCCTGTCAAAAAAATGCGTTTTCCCTGTCTGTTTTTCCTCCAGTCCAACTTTGCCATTGGGTTGAGTTTTCTCCCCTAAGGAAGGGATGTTCTCCATGTTCTCCACATGCTGGGGTTTATGGTTTGAAGGACACAGCAAATCCAAATGTCTGTCCAGGCAGGACATTCTTCTGTAGGAGGAGAGGTCCAGGCAGGAATGGTTTGTTTTATCCAGGGGCAGGAAGCATCATGGAATCATGGAATGGTTTGGCTTGGGTTGGGAGAGACCTTAAAGCCAATCCAGGGCTTTAACACCTTCCACTGTCCCAGTTTATTCCAGCCTGGCCTTGGGCACTGCCAGGGATCCAGGGGCAGCCCCAGCTGCTCTGGGCACCTGTGCCAGGGCCTGCCCACCCTGCCAGGGAACAATTCCTGATTCCCAATATCCCATCCATCCCTGCCCTCTGGCAGTGGCAGCCATTCCCTGGGTCCTGTCCCTCCATCCCTTGTCCCCAGTCCCTCTGCAGCTCTCCTGGAGCCCCTTTAGTAACTGGAAGTCTGGGAGGCTCCTTGCAACTTTCAGGGGAGCGAGGTGGGATTTGGGGGCTCCCAGACCACCCAACACCTCCACAGCTTTCTTGTTCTCAAGGCATTCCCAAATATCTACCCTCACCCACATTCCCAATGGGAATGCAGCACAGAGTCTCCTGGTGTAACCCATGCTTGGTTGGGCAAAAAATCCCACCCGGCCTGGAGGCAAAGAGGCTGCAAGTGCTCCCAGAGCAGCTGTTTTCATGGGAAACGCATTTGTTCCAGGGAATTCTGTGATTTCCTTCACCTCCAGACCATGCTTTCAGCCATGGACTGGACATAGTCCTGCTTTTCATCCCACTCTGGGTTATTTTCTCCCAGAGAAGTTTCTCCAAGGTGAGGTTGAATTTTCCTCCTGGCAGCATTTCAAAAAGCAATGGAATGGCACCGCTTCCAAGAGCCATCAGTGATGAAATATTGCATCATCTTTCCCTAATGTCCCTAATTTTCCCTTGAAAGTGGCACCTCCCAGTCCCTGATCCCAGATGGGGTGGCTCTGCAGGTGCTCTGCTCCCTCTTTGTCCAAAACAAAAGGGTTTCACCCCAAATTTGTGTCACCTCATCCTTGCTTGGGTGGGTTTGTGGACAGTGTTTGCCTTGGGGGTTTCACCCTCTGGGGTCAGGGTGACTCCAAAGCGGGGCCGTCTCCCCAGCTGGCGACTGGAAAAAATGACGCCTTTTATTCAGGACCAAAAAGGAGCCATCTGGGGAAAATTCCGCAGCATTTCCATCTATTGGGTAGCTCCAGGCCAAAAGCTTTTGGGAGAGTGTGCAAACACATGTATTGATGGATGAGTCAGAGCCCCCATCCGTGTGTCACAGCGCGTTCCCAAAGGAGAAGGCGGCGTCTCCATCCCGTCCCTCTGCAGCCCCCATTTGCTCAGCTTTTCAGGGCTATTCAATAGCAAAACCTGGGAAATTTATTCCTTGATTTTTTTTAATTTTTTTTTTTTTTTTTTTATTTTTTAATTTGAGCCCTGGAATGTTTTCTCTTCCATTTTCTATTTGAATGGGTCTTTCTGTAAAAGCAGAAAGGTGCCATTTTTGACAGCTGGACAAAATCAGTCTGTGTGCTGCTGCAACCTGGTGAATTAATGTGAGGAACGTGGAGCTCTGCTCGTCCTGTTCCTCTTCCAGCTGCACTTGGTCCTGTTTTTTAAGGTCAAAATGTAAATGTATTAAATTGCCCAAAATACAACACAAGCTCACAACATTTCCAGGCATCATTTGCTTGTTCCTACAACCCACTTTTATCTGCATCCTTTGAAAATTGAACCAATATCAGCTTTAAAACAAAGGACAGTAATATTTGATGGGATTTTGAGGAGGAATTGCTTCCTGGCAGGGTGGGCAGGCCCTGGCACAGGTGCCCAGAGCAGCTGTGGCTGCCCCTGGATCCCTGGAAGTGTCCCAGGCCAGGTTGGACATTGGGGATTGGAGCAGCCTGGGATGGTGGAAGGTGTCCCTTCCACCTGGAATGGGATGAGCTTTAATGTCCCTCCCAACCCAAACCATTCCATGAGAATTTTACAATTGCAACTGGAAACGTGTTTGATTTCTCCTGCTGGGATTTCTGGGGTGCAGGAAAATCAATGGGGCTCATCTCAGTCTCAGAGGATTTTTGGGAAGCCTGGGATGGTGTGAGTACATATCCCATAGCCTGGAGGTAATATCCAAACACAATTTTCCTGCTTTGAAGCTTCCTGTTGGGCTCTGTTCCTGTGTTCTGTGACAGCACAGGAATCAGGATTTTGGAATAGTTTGGGTTGGAGGGGAACTTAAACCTCATGCCTGCCATGGGCAGAGACATCTTCCACTATCCCAGGGGGCTCCAGGCCCTGTCCAACATTCCTTGGACACTTCCAGGGATCCAGGGGCAGCCACAGCTTCTCTGGGCACCCTGTGCCAGGGCCTGCCCACCCTCACTGGGGAAAACTTTTCCTTATGTCTGACCCAATCCCTACATCCAAGGATGCTTCCTTGCTCTTGTTCTGGCACTCCTTGCCTGGTCCATCCCTGGCTGAACATTTTTGGGAAGTCTCTGGTGTGGGGAAAAGCCTTCTCACCATGTGGAGCTTTCCCTCCCACCCACGTTTCAGGTTTTTCCTAAAGGATGTGACACCCTGGGGGCTTTTCTGCCATGGCAGCTGCTGTGGGAATTGTAGGGAATGAGGTGGGAAGGGGACAGAGTGGGAATGTCCAGGATCCTGGGAATGGTGTAGGATATTGGGAATGGTCCAGGTGGTGGCACTGGGGGAGCATCACTCTTCCAATGGGACATTCCCAAATGGACCCAAGTTTTCCTCATGGGTTTATGGGAATAACTTTAAACCAGGCTTTGCTTGGAGTGGGGGAAAATCATTCCCAGCTGCCTGAGGGGGGGATTCTGGCTATGAACCCAGGATATATCAGGATTTTCACACTATGCCCATTCCCAGGGCAGGACTTTCTGCAGTGTGTGTGTGTGTAGAAAAGGCCACCACTTTTCCCCTGGGAGCCCACAAGTGGCCACTCGAGGCCGTTTTTTCCACAAAATCCCAGCAATTCCTTGTGGCTGTTGCAGAAATCTCCGTTTCCCTGCACGTCTGGGAGCAGCTGCGTGTCCCTGGGAAGGGGCTTCACCACGCTGTGCCACCGGCGCTGCCGGAAGGGGGTTATTTATAGCTGGGTTTATTTTTACTTTTCCCCATCCCGACGTTTTCCTTCCTGATTGCCTGTGATATTCAGGGATCGTCTCATTAGCACAAAGAAATTTCCCCATCCAAACAGCACGGCCCACAGGGGAAAAAATATGGAGGGGAAACTGAGGCAGCAGCTGGTTGAGGGTGGGATAGTTGGAGTTAAAAATCTGATTTTTCCCTATATTAATGTTTTTATGGATAAATAGGACCAGCACTGTTTAATATATTTGTCAATGATAAAAACATTGGGATTGAGACTGGAAAAGAAAAGGCTCCAGGGAGAGCTCAGAGCCCCTGCCAGGGCCTAAAGGGGCTCCAGGAGAGCTGCAGAGGGACTGGGGACAAGGGATGGAGGGACAGGACACAGGGAATGGCCTCCCACTGACACAGGGATGGGATACTGGGGAGGAATTGTTCCCTGGGAGGGTGGAGAGGGGCTGGGATGGAATTCCCTGGAATTCCATCCCTGGCAGTGCCCAAGGCCAGGCTGGACAGGGCTTGGAGCAGCCTGGGACAGTGGGAGGTGTCCCTGCCATGGCAGGGGTGGCACTGGGTGGGCTTTAAGGTCCCTTCCCACCCAAACCATTCCATGACTCCTGAGTTGTCTCTTAACACGACAGAAAAGCAGAAATCCAGCATTTTTCAGCAGTGGGAGGTGGCGAGCGCAAGGAACGGTTCCATCAGAGCTGCTAATGGGTTTTCTCTTGGGTAATGAGCACTGGGGACAATTAACATCCATCTTAATTAGTCTGGAGAGGGAGTGGGTGCTTTGAGCCTCGGTGCTTTGAGCGGGAAACGGCAGCGGAGTCCTCGGCTGGGAGGGATGGAAGGGCTGGAAAAAGTCCCTTTGTTGGAATAATGAGTTGGTTCTGCTGCTGGGGATTGTGACAAAGCCAGGCCTGGGTAAACTCAGCTCCCTGGGGGTCCTGGTCCTGGTCCCCAGAGCAGGAGCAGAGACAAAGCCTCAGCCACCCAAAGGGCCTTCCAAGGATAAAGTTCTTTCCTAATCCTGATAAAATGGCTCCAGCCACCCATGAATGCAGAGACTCCCACGTTTTAGGATTTTGGGTGCTCCTCCTGAGGCAAAAAGGGGGGATTTGAAAGGTTGTTGATGCTTCCCAAGGCTCCAGGTGCTCCTTGGGTCTGTAATGGAAGCAGGGGATCAGCACACTGCATGCAGCTCCTTGGGGCTGCTGGTGGTTGGGAATGTTGTTTGGGAGAAGGGAGAGAGGTTATCCAGTCTGGGAGAAGCTTTGAGCTGGAGTTTGCCTGGGCTTTGAGCTCACACTGGCTTGTGAGGGGGATTTGGGGCAATTTTTTCAGGATTCCTTGGGTTTTTAGTTAAAATCTCCAGCGTGGCTCTCGGAGCTTGTGCAAGGAGTCTGGGGTTTGACCCCCCTCTTGTCACGCCAGGGTGACTTCAACTTTGCAGGGTGCCACTGGTGATGCCACCAGGGCTGTGTGGCCATGATTTATGTCCCTGCTGGGAAGACCAAGGAGAACACTGAGGAACATTAGGAATTAACCTGACCTTGGCAGAACTGTGTAAAGAGAATTTAAATCAAAAAATTGTTGAAAGTGCCTTTGGAGCAGAGGAACTTGGAGGTTTCTGCTGGAGAGGGAGCAGCTCCTAAACCCTTCCCTGGAGCTGCTGGTGGCAGGGAGGGGGTGGAGATAAACCCAGTCCCTGTCCTTACATGAGATACCAAAGAT